GTTGAATATATTCAACCGAAAGAATGTATTTTAGTTCTTTAAAATTAGTTGCAAGTAACGTGTTCTAAATTGACCGTAAAAATGTCTTATTTAACTGAAACTTTGCGTATTGAGATTCTAATGATGATTGGATTTGGTGATAGACGTCGAAATCAGACAGAAGTTGCACGATTATTTAACGAAACGCATCCAGAATTTCCTCACATTTGCCAAGGGACTGTTAGTAAAGTAGAAGCAAAATATCACGAAAATGGTCATGTAAGAAATATTCCTAGACAACGCCAGCCTATCGTTAAAGACAATACGAAGCTTAATGTTCTATTAGCAATCCAAGAAAATCCTGTTACTTCAGCTCGACAAATTGCTCGCGGGAACGATTTGAGCCACACCACTGTAATGAAGTTACTACATGCTTAAAAAATGCATCCGTATAAGATGCAAGCAGTACAGGAACTAATTGGGGATGATACCGATCGCAGAATTGAATTTTGCGAGCAAATGATGAACCTTATTAATGATAACCAAATTTCCTTGGATTGGATACTATTTTCCGATGAAAGTACGTTTACTTTAAATGGTGAAGTTAATCGTCAAAATTGTAGATATTGGAACGACAGCAATTCTCATTGGATTGAAGAAAATCATACACAGTATCCACAAAAGGTAAATGTTTGGGCTGGAATAATTGGAAATAGAATAATTGGTCCCGCCTTTTAAAACGAAACTCTAAATGGCGAAAGGTACTTAACTTTTCTTCAAGAAGATCTTCTACCATATTTGGCAGTTCAGTTTCCAAACGAGAATGATCCAGACTTACCAGATACCTGGTTTCAGCAAGATGGAGCTCCACCGCACTACGCATTACCCGTTCGTCGATACCTAAATGAAATATTTCCTAATCGGTGGATTGGTAGAAGAGGTGGCCAGCCCGATCTCCAGACCTTACCCCGTTGGATTTCTTCCTGTGGGGTTACCTTAAAAATAAAGTTTATGTAACCAAACCAACTAATATTGAAGATCTTAAAGAGAGTATCCGACACGAAACTTCTTTAATATTACCTGAAATGTTGGAAAAGGTTAAAAATGAATTTTATAATCGTCTAGGATTTTGTCATAATTATAATTATCATAAAATGAAGTTTTTATTATTTATAATTGTACAAAAATAAAATAATTAAAAAGTGCATATTTGTATGAATTTCTATTAAAACAAGCTTTCAAATGATGTATCACTTGATATACCTTTGCATTTGAAAAAAAAAGTTAGGGTTGGTTGCACCCTCAAAGGGTGGTTTAATAATAATAATAATAATAATATTATATTTTTAAGATTTACCACAATTTACCCAGGTAAATTTATAAATTGACCTGTTTTTGGATTTTTTAAAAAAGTAAGTGGTTTTTAAAATACAGAATTTATTCCAGTTAAGGTTTCCACCCTGTATATATATATATATATATATATAATTAATGGCAATTTATATATTTTTTAAGTATATATGCGTTCTGGCACTATACAGATATATAATATCTTTGTTGGAAATTTAGTATTTTATAAAAGTAAAACTAGAATATTGCTCGCTTTAGGAAGTCCTTTGTCAAAATAATAAGTCAGATGTTTCGAATAAAATATTTATTTTCATAAAATATATTTTACTTTTCGTTTTAAATATTCTAAATTAAGAACTAACCTTGGAGAATATACAAACATTCGTAACAATAACTTATATGGAACTTTACAATAAATTTCGTTTTAGCAAAAATTTATAAGAAACGATCCGATCGCTACCACTTCCAAAAACTTTCTGCCTGTTTGTTTGCTTCCCTTTACTCGATTCGTGTACCTGGACCATCGTTTCTTGAATCATCTGGACGCCAGATTTTTAGGCAAAGTTCGAAAAACTTGTAATTTCTTTACCTAAGTGTCCCTTTTTACCTCTTTTGCACAACTTTTTGCCTTTAACACGATAGGTCATTTAGAAATTCCAAATTTATTCAAAAATAATTTTGTAAAATATATAAAACTACGTTATTTTCCTTGAAAATAAATTTGTAAACCGTGTCAAAGTACGGAACCATTACAATATTTACATAAAGTTCGTTTTTGGGTGTACAAAACAAAAAATCCATTTTTACACATTTCATGTGATTGCTGGTTTTTCACGAATATAAATTGTGAAAATAATAATTTTGGCATACGGAGTTTTTTAAATTTAATTTACATTATTATACAGGGCCTGCATATTGAGACATGTGATCTTATTTAAGGGGTAATCTAATTTTTTTTTATTAAAGTAGAAAAAAAACAATATTGTGATTATAAATTAAAATAAATTTGGTATTGCAATAAAAATTTTGTTTGCCCTTTATTATAAAAAATTCCTCATCCTCTCGCCCCTTATTATTTACTCTTAATATTACTAATATGTACAAGTGGGTGCAACCGTTCTGCCAAACCAGCGATAAACATAAATCAATTTCTAAAATTAATGTAAAGCAAATTTGGCGACAGATTAGAAGAGAGAATAAAGATTTTAAAAACCTGTTGCCTTAACAACAAATGTAAAAAATACTTTAATATTTTCCCGGCAATAATGATAGATTATTCCTAATGTTTTGATTGATACATATTAAAATTAGACATAAGAGTCAAAGAATCAACTATTGCTCTTTTTTTTGACTAAAATGAATAACGTGAATTTTCGAAAAATTGCCTTATAATCGTAGTTAGCCAAGATATCCACAAAATCTCGTAAACGTCCCGAGGGATAACCTAACTGTTATTAGGAAGGGGTATTACGACTATCAAACTCAACTGCCTCATGAATGGGAATAACTTGAAATTTCGGAAAAAATACACCCTGTAGTATACTGCTATGTGCAAAATATCGTATTCCCAAAATTAGACATAAGAGTCAAAGAATCAGCTATTCAGAATTTCCAAAGATTTTCAAAATCGATTCAGTAATTTTCCAATAACAAGCTTTCAAATATTTTCCAAAAAACTAGGTACGTCGATTTTTATGACGAGCAGTTTATATGGATATCCATGACTGAAATTCAAAGATTCTATTGGTTTTTAGAAAATGCTAAAAAAAATCACACAAATACAATAATTATAGTCGTCTCAGCAAATGTTTTACATTGCGTCATTAATTTGTGAACCAAGCACAGACATTACAATTTGCTGGTTTCTTTGTATAAGTATGTGGGATGTATGCCGGACGTATGTCAAAAAACAGGTTTTTAACATTTTAAATTGACACAATGTAAAGAATTCGCCGTGACGACTATACCTACTTTTCTTATTGGAATTGATGAAACGTGATAATTTAACGTTTAGTTTGTGTTAAGAACACTTTTCTTTAAAATTTACCAGTGAAAAATATGCAATAATATTGGTTGTTTAAAAAATCTAGGTTAGAATAATTTGTTTGTTATTAAAAACAGTGTGGTTTTGTATATACTTAAATTAAAAAATATCTGCCTGCTGTTATGTTAAGTATTGATTTTTATTTTTTAAATATAAACAAGAAAATCTTCTAATGCATTTTTACTAATTTTTATGACCTAGTCTTGATTGTTTCCCTAATTAATTTACCTATTTACCACCAAAAACTTTGTATTTTTCATCCATTTTTATTTAATTTCACTACTTCACTAGCCGTAAATAATACTAAGAGTAAGGAGCTAAATAAATTAAATTAAAACTTAAGTATAGGGAAACGTCTACCCTCAAGAAATTCATGGTGCCGCAACGTTCTAACGCCTGTTGTATATTAGGGTGCTTCAAAAAATTTTTTTTTTCGCTCTTACCCTCTCAAATGTTTTTATTTAATATAAAAAAAAAATCCTCACCAAATATGGGCGTTCCAGCTCAACTCTAAGAGGTCGCTATTTTTATTTTAGTTTCCCATTGAATTAACATGGGAAAAAATTAATTTATGTTTGGAATTTTATACCTCTGTATCAAAGTAACTTATGGCAATGATCATAGCAGTTCCTTATATAAAATTTAACGCTCTACAAGAAAGGTCTCTTATTATTTTTCGATAAATTGATTTCTTCTAGAGTTATTCGAGGTCAAAGTTTTCCCCCTTTCACCTCCCGTCTGCTAATTGTACCAGAAAATTTAATTTTAATCAAAATTTGACCTCGAATAACTCTAGAATTTATCGAAAAATAATAAGAGACCTTTTTTGTAGAGCGTTAAATTTTATATAAGAAACTGCAATTATCATTGACATAAGTTACTTTGATACAGAGGTATAAAATTCCAAACATAAATTAATTTTTTCCCATGTTAATTCAATGGGAAACTAAAATAAAAATAGCGACCTCTTAGAGTTGAGCTGGAACGCCCATATTTGGTGAGGATTTTTTTTATATTAAATAAAAACATTTGAGGGGGTAAGAGCGAAAAAAATTTTTTTTGAAGCACCCTAATATATATATATATATATATATATATATATATATATATATACGCATATATATTATTGTGGTCCAAAAAAACTAATCAAAAAATCATAATTGTTTTGATCTCACCCTATCGTTGGGTGACAATGTGTATTTGTATTTAACGCTTACAGCGTGCGCAGTCAGTAATTAATAGCTATTTTAGTAGGTGTTGTGTTTTGACAGTGACTGTAAAATTGTTTAAAAATGATAACAGCTACTAGAAGTAACACAAAAATATACTTAATTGGGTCCAAGAAAAGTAAAAATTTTGGTAGTAAGCTCCCGTGTAATAGACATTTTGGTCAAAAGAGAAGAGCAACACGCAATAGCTAGAAAAACTTCACGTTCAAGTTGGAATCTATTAAAAAAAGAGCTCTAAAAAAAAAGTGCAACTCAACGTTTAAAAGAACAAAATTTTATTGATACATTAGAAGATTTATTTCATAAAGCCCATGCGGATGCAACTCACCCTAATTAAAATTGAAGAAGACCGAAACTTCTTAATAGCGCAGTGAGAAAAAGGACGACGTGGCTGCATTATGGGAAGAGACAAAGTTTTACATCAAAAAGAATGTAGAGCTGAAAAAAAGAAGAAGGAATACCAGCTTAGATGTGAACGTGAAGAACAACGAAAATACACTAATAGTAGTAGTGAGTTTGTCAGTGACGTGTTGAGAACAAGCACAGACGTCGGCTCAGACAGTAGTTATAATAGCGATAATAATTTCTCGATTCCGAGTAACTACAATAAACAGATGCCTAAAAAAGGAAAGGCGCAAAAAAGAAAGAAAGTTCGTGGCACTGGAAGCACATCTCTAATCACACCCCAGCTCGCTGCTACGCTTGACAGACCTAATATAAGTCATCCAAAAGCGACTTTTATAGTCACTGCTATGCTTCAAAGTCTGAGTCAGAACGTTGACGATGTCCCACTGAGTCGCTCATCTCTGCGAAGGGCAAGGCAAAATGCTCATGCCGAGCTCTATACAAATATAAAAAAAAATTCCAAGCTCAATGGCCTTCCATAGTGCATTGGGACGGAAAACTGCTGCAAGACGTGTTTGGAAAAGAAATGGTGGAGCGCCTTCCTGTTATTTTATCTGGACCACACATTAAAGATCAGCAGTTTTCCCAAGCTAATATCAGGAACAGGACAAGCTCAGGCAAACGCAGTTTCAGAACTGAATGTGTTTTGATACGACATTAATACTGGTACAAAATCTGAGGCCTGTCTCATGCTTGAGAAAAAGTTGGGAAGAATTCTTTTGCATTTCGCCTGCAAACGACATATTTAGAAATTGTATTACCTGCCGTATTTACAAAATGTACTGGATCTTCTTGTGGACCAGATGTACCTTTATTTAAACGGTTTCAGAAATGTTGGTCATAAATTGATCATACGAAATATGAGTCTGGTGTACAAAATAATGAAATGTGTGCAGCCATCCAGGATGAAATTCAGGGTGTATTGGAGTTTGCAGAGAAACAACTTGAGGTAAGTTACCTAATGTTTTAATTACTATTTTATTATCTAATTGCATTAATAAATTATTCTTAAGTAAGTCAACACCTTTCTTTTATTCTGCAGGTAATTCAGCCGCGTCAGGATTACAGAGAAATTCTTGAGCTTCTTATAATTTTTCTTGGAGGAACCCCTCCCCGTGGTGTACGATTTCGTTCTCCGGGAGCTCTGCATCACGCTAGATGGATGGCTAAGATCCTATACAGCCTTAAGTTATGGATGTTTAGAGGGCAGTTTAAGCTAACTCTACAGGAAGAAAATTCTCTTAAAGACATTTGCATTTTTATTATCCGGATATATTTAAAAAATGTTTTGGTGCTCCTTTACCTATACAAGCACCAAGAAACGACCTAAAACTTTTACAGCAACTTAAAGAGTATGAAGAAATTTTTTTAACTGTGTCTCAGATTGCACTTGAAAAATGGAAACGAAATCTATGTTATCTTAGCCATCACCTTGTAACACTTGCTTTTTTTTTGAGTATTTCACCTGAAGAAAAAAAAAGAATGGTTATTGCTCTACACGAGAATCAGGGAGAGGCCGAACCCCCAAAGAGAGCAAATATAATAAATATTCAAGAACCCATAAATGGTATGACAATAGCGAACTTCGTGACAACCAACACTGTTTTTTTCTCTAGAAATTTAGGAATTGATGATGGAATTCCTTTAAATGAAACCTGACAAATGGACACTGCAAAAAAGTTATCAGGGTGGCCTTAAAATAGTACTGCGGAGAGGGGTGTGGCCCTCATTGAAGCCTATTCTTCCACAATTACAAAGAATGAAGAACAAAAGCGATGTCTTCTTCAAGTTGTGCAGGAACATCGATTGTAATTAAAGAACCATTGTAAAACCTTTTAATTTCTAATACATACCAAAGTGCCTCTTGTATGTTTTATTTGAGAACATTTAAATTCGTGTTGCATTCAAATCTAAGTCCTAGATTGGAATGCAAGCTACTTGTATAAAATCATAAATTTTTGCCATTTACGCTACTTTACGTTTAATTTTATTACTTCTGCGCGACCTCTTCGCGATATTGCTCAAATTTGGGTAAACTCACTTTTTTATATTGTCACCAAAATGGAGGGGTGAGATCAAATAAAATTAAAAGTTTAATTTTTGCACTATAGTCCTTTGAACCACCTTAAAAAAGAATATTTTTTTCTCATCTCTTGTAAAAATATGTTAGTTTATCATGCTGTAAGAGCTCGATATTATTTTTTAGGTTGAAAATAATAAAAATTTTGTAAATTTCAAATTAATATTTTGATTTCTAAAGGTCGCTAAAAGTTCGTTGATATTTATATTGAGAGGTCGCCCGAAAATAATTTCGGAACGAGAAAAAAAAATTAAAATAAAAAAACACAATTTTTGACGATATTGGAAATTTTTAACAGGGTCTTAAAACATGACAAACCAACATATTTTCACAAGAGACGAGAAAAAACAATTTTTTTTTTCGGGCCACCCTAATATGTATATATGTTTATATAATTCTAGGAAATTTTCAAGAATTTGAAAAAATTGTTAACATTCTTAAACAAGAAAAAGAGGAAATACAAAAAGAAAAACAAGATTTACTTGAAAAATTAACTCTTCAAGATAAAGATCTAAATGATGCCCTTGCTCAAAGAAAATTGGCAATGTCCGAATACACTGAAGTAACCGATAAATTAGCTGAGTTAAGGCAACAGAAACAAAAATTTTCCAGACAAGTTAGAGACAAAGAAGAGGAACTAGAAAATGTTATGCAAAAGATAGATACGCTAAGAAATGATATGAGAAAAGCTGAGAAACTAAGAAGAGAACTAGAATCAAGGATTGAGGAAGCCCAAGCAGAAGCAAGCAAAGAACGAAAACTTCGAGAAAGGTCAGAGGAATATTGTAGACAGATGCAGGCCGAATCAGATAGACTCAGGCTAAAAAATGAAGTTGGTCCTAGGGATCAACAAGAATCTGTAACATTTAAATCTGAATTAGAAAATTTAGAGGTAACAAATTTTTTGATTTATTAATTTTTATTTGCAGCAGGGTTAACCTTTAGTCTTTTAAACATAAACCCTAATGGAATTATTATTTATTAAATGAAACTAATAAAAAACACAAACATGGTTTCTGGACTTTTTTAGATTTAAGATTTTTTGTGAACGATCTTTTGGAAATCCGAGGCGATTTAATTTTCGTTAATGTGCCAGTACCGATCCGCACCAAATAAAGCATTTAAAAAGTTTTATTTTCATACGTTTTTAGCTGTAAAAGTTTTTCTCTTAGAGATTTCTACCTGTCATAGGACATTTTAAAGCTGTAAGATAGTGTTTTCTGAAATAAAAATAAAATCTTGCATAAATCCCCAGATAGCAATAGTGCGTCGCACGAAAAACGCATGACGTGCGGTCTCACGCGTGCGCGCTATTACGCATTCAAAATTAAGTAACGCGTGAGTTTTAGGCGCACGCGATGAGACCATTTTCGCATATCGCACACGTGCGTTCGTATACACATTCACAGTAAAGTCACATGTTTTAAAATTTGTGCGTGGCAGGTGCGATGATATTTATTGTTATTTATAATTAATATATACGGACCCATTTATGCAGAAAGGATCCAACCCCCCAAACAATAATTGTTTCAGATTGCAATAAATTGGTTAAAATAGAGTTTAGAGATTTTTCCTGAATAAAATTTAGCTTATTTTCTGTTAATATACAAAATATCTTAATTTTTTTCTAATTTTTCGATTGGTTCTATTCTGCAGAACTACGTCCATATATTACCTTACTTTTTAAATAATAATAATAATAATAATAATAGTCTTAAGGCTATAAATAAATTTATTTTTACATTTTACACAGTAAGAAAGAAAATTGTGTCAAGAAAGTTTTTTTTAATAATAATAATAATAATAGCCTTAAGGCTATAAATAAATTTATTTTTACATTTTACACAGTAAGAAAGAAAACTGTGTCAAGAAAGTTTTGGTATATAATTAAAGTAATTTTAAATTTAAATTAAGACATACACAAACAAACAATTAAGTATACTTATAAGATTTATGTATGGGTATTTAAAAAGAATAATTTATATAAATACATAAAATATTGCAAAAATAAAACATTGTATAAATAAAATACCTACTAATTATTACAAAGGACTGGTTAATTTAGTTAAAGAATAGGGTTATTTTTCCAGAATGTAATCAAAAATAAGTTTTTTATAAGATTCTATAGATATAAATGCAATGAAACTTTAATATTTTAAGGCAAGTGGTTAAAGAAGAATAGGCACAAATAGTAGCAGCCTTTTTCAAAAATAGCAAGCCTGTGCTTCGGATACAGAAAATCATTACTTCTTAGAGACTTTGATTTTGAATCCAAGAATAACTTGCGGTTTGATTTAAAAAAATAGGAGAATTTCATAAATGACCTCTAAGGGATCTGAGTATTAGGGATTTAAAATCTTCTTTTGTTAAAAGATAGATCCAAATTTGCCTAAAGGCGTGGTAAACCAACCAATTTGTGATAGAGGCTTGATGGTCTTAATTGTGTATACACTTATAAGTGTAAGTGTTAATTAACACCTCCTTGTTAATTCTTTGGTATATCCAAAATTTTACATTTTTAAATTATTTAGGCCAGAATTTTACATGTGAAGATCATTTTCTTTCAGGTGGCTTTCTAAATCGCATTCGTGCGCTTCAGATGCAACTTAAATGTGGACATATATGTAAGGCCAGATGCATCGCACACGTGCGACTTAAGTCGCACGTGTGCACTCCAAGTGCGCGCATCGGAACTACATTTTGCTATCTGGGTCATATCATATTTGTTGTCACCTTGACAGCAAACTAAGTATGCTAAAAATAAACCAACCGCAAATAGTTTTGCTCTTTAACCATCTGTTTATACAAGAGGCATAAAAGAACTAAGTATCCTGTAAATTTCAGATTTTTATATCTTGCCCCATAAGTTAATGTTGAATAAAGCCTAAGCCTAAAGTATGCAAATTTTAATATTTTTAAAATTTAAGCAATTAATTATCCTATTAAAAGAGGACTAAATGGGAGGAATGGGAATGGGATTTGATATCTGAGAAAACTTTACGTTTAACAGCACAGATACTGGTGTCAATGAAAAATCAGTAAAATAAACGGTGCTATATAACACAATTCACTATGTGTAAGCATTAAAATGCCATTTTGCAAAAACCGCTAAAAAAGTATTAAAAAAATATAACTTAGTTAGTTCTAAGTTTCTAAAGAGTTGGCGAAACTTATTAATGTTTGACATTTAACACTTCGAATGAAATTGTCGGTAAAACAGTGCGCAATAAGATAAACTATCTTAATGCGCACTGTTTTACCGACAATTCCTAGTGTCAAATGGCAAACATTAATAAGTTTTGCTAGGTTATTTGAAATAACTTATTTCTACGAGTTTCGCCAACTCTAGTTATATCTCTAGTTAAAGACATCCCATTAAAGTGTGTGTAGAAGAGGAGATGA